GACCTGATACATACCTCATAGTAACAACTAGTCTGCCCTACAGGGAAAGATGTTATATTAGGGATTGTGCAAGCTTGCAGATTTTTGGACAAAAAATCATAAAATGCAGATGCAGAGACAAAAAAGGTCTCAATCCGCAAGGTTGAGTAAATATTTCAAATGAGCAAAATTGGCATCTGCAGCTACGGAAACAAATAGAATAACTGGATTTGCATTTGACCACAAATATTGAATACAACCACCTTGCGCCGTAAAGCTTTTGTTTCCGTTTGGCGACCTCTGGAATAGCAATACTCATGTAAGGTAAGCCGTACAGAAAGGATCAAAGTTATGGGATTTAAAAGAATGAATGCCGCGTTAAGGGTGGTCCAGAAACCAAACACTGAACAAAGACCACAGTTTTTCTTCGAAACGATCCCCATTTACGTGCATATGAGCCTGAAGACATTCGGGGAATGACCGAGACCGTGGCGAGGGAGCAGCTTAGGTGAAACTCCAGTTCGGGGGGCCACTCCATTTTTTCTCCAATACTCAAGATAAGGATTAGAGGGCTCACGACACGTAATCGACTCATTTAAAGTAGACTTCTGATAAATATTGGTGTAATGGGTGAGAAACCCTGAAACGTTTTCACATTTCCGCCTGCCATGACCCAAGGGAACGGTCCTGGACCAGGAGAAAGGACACCTCCGCAAAGGGCTAAGGGTGCAGGAGCTCCAGGGTGGATCACCTGTGCAGAAAAGTGGATGGGATGTGGGCAGGTAGTGTGGAATGTAGGACATCCACCGGTCCTTATCAAAAGTACGCTCGAAATGAGTCGTTCACTTATTATCTTATCCGTAGTGTTCGATAGCCCAAAGAACTGCTCTCTAGTACTACCGGATAGCATACTAGGCAAATGGCAGGGTCGGCCCCCCCGCCCCGACACTGGAGTTTCACCCAGCTAGCTACCTATTCATTTCTGGACCTCCTGCAGGCGCTGCTTCCAAGGACCGAAAACCGAGGTACCATATCCGCACTATGTAGGAATGTGCTCCAGAAACCAAAAATAGGAAAATTAAGCAGTTTGAGGATCGGGAACAGGGAGATAGATCGCTCGTTAGAGAATGTGAGTTCCAACATCTTAATTTCAAGGATATTTCAAGGTTTCCTTCACAGCGTTACCGAAGCCTGCCCGAACGAAGCGCAAAATATGTTTTTGTGTAAATAGCGGAACGCATGCACTCGAGAAACTCGGCTGCGCAGAGACACTCCTCTGACTTTGTTTTCCTGAAGAAAATTGATGCTTGTTGGTTTTACGCTCTTTTTGGAGTTCTTTGCGATCTTCCACGGAGCTTAAGGTAGGAATTCGGCAGCAAACAAGCTGTTTATTTGAACAATACATCATGAGTATCTGCAATTTTTGCCGTGTTCCCCTTCATTTTTCAAGAATAACACAAATTTCAAACGTAGTCCTGAACAGCCATGAAGTGGTACAAAGAAGTTTTTCTCGACATCAGAGTCCAGAAAGAAGATTCTTGATAGTCAATGCCATTGTATTGCTGAGGCTGAGCGACTGACTGAGACTTAGGACTTAAAGTCACCGGTCGCAATCGAATTGGTGCGTTATTTAGCTTACAAATGGCAAAAAAGATGCGAGGTGGAAGGTCAGAGAAGAAAAAAGGAAAAGGAATCATAGAAGCGCTGAAGATAAATCCCTCAGCCTGCTAAAGTTGTCCGTGGTATGACAGAGGGACACATCGCTGCGAGGAGAGGTAAAGGACGAAAGAGCACGTTGTGTGAGAGGGCGCAGAAATCAGGTGTATTGCGAACCCAAAAAGTTGCTGCTGTCGTTGTTATCGGAGGGGGGGGGGCATTGGCGCCCTTGTGGTGCGCTTTTTAGTCGTAGTAGTGCTACGTCCCCTAACTGTGCTTAAGGAACCTGCAATCACTAAAAAGATTTCTATAAGGAGCCGACTGCGACCCGTGCCTTTAGGTTTGGCAGCCGATTTCACAAAGAGCATTGAAAGGCCTTCTGCTGAATAGCAGTTCAAAGGAGATTTCGCTAGTGCTCTTTTGGATGCTGCGTCCTACAGAGAGTTCGTGCAAATCACGTACTGGATTACTCCACAATTTGTTCACTGTCCCTTGTTTCACTCTTAGAAAGCTGGATAATGGAGCACTTACGTCATCGCAATGTTCGACCCGTCGATGACGATCGGCCGAAGTGTCGACGTCGTCGTTGTCGCCACCACAAGGTCAGGCTGTACTCCACCATTTCCTCGCCCCATCTGGACCAACTCTGATAGTATCCTGTCCTAAACACTCGAACGTCTGAGCAAATTTATTGTAAGTACTTTGCTTGTTACCAAGTATAATTACCCTCGCCTTCAAATAACCAGAAATTGTGCAATTGCAGAAATTGACGTGGCATTAACGTGGCATCGATTCAAGAACATCTTTGAGTGTGCCACGTGGCTAAATTCCAAAGATGTTCTTGAATCGATGCCACGTTAATGCCACGTCAATTTCTGCAATTGCACAATTTCTGGTTATTTGAAGGCGAGGGTAATTATACTTGGTAATAAGCAAAGTACTTACAATAAATTTGCTCAGACGTTCGAGTGTTTAGGACAGGATACTATCAGAGTTGGTCCAGATGGGGCGAGGAAATGGTGGAGTACAGCCTGACCTTGTGGTGGCGACAACGACGACGTCGACACTTCGGCCGATCGTCATCGACGGGTCGAACATTGCGATGACGTAAGTGCTCCATTATCCAGCTTTCTAAGAGTAAAACAAGGGACAGTGTACAAAC